GCATTCTTAAGATAAAAAGTTAAAAGCAGTTCTGTCAAACATATGCTGTCCATTAATAAACAATTATTTTTGAATTCTTCATATAGCGCTCTATTTTTTTTCCATATTATAGAAATATATTTTAGCCCTCTTTGTTCTATAAATTAATTTCGGAAATATTCATCTATGTGTTTCTTCATAAATATTTTTGGCTATGCCTGCTTATTCACAAATATCTAAGTAATTAACGAAAAATACCTCATCATTAGCCTTGAAAAATATATTAAATTCCACTGGTATATGTTATGTATAGTGCTATACTTACAACCAAAAGGCATGTTTTCCTTCCCTCACGTTTTGGGGAAACTCTGTATTCACATCAAGTAATGCTGGTACAACTCCAGATGACAAGCACCCAAGCTCCTTCTGGCTCTATTTTAAGAGATATCGTTTTGACAGCTCTAATTGTGGCATACAGAGATGCCAGTCAGGTAGCTGAACTTGCATTTCAAAGACTACCCTTCAGGACTACATTTATTAAATATTAAATATCAGCATTAAGAATATCATACATTTTACATAGGATATTTTGGTTCGAACACAATTTCCTCACTGAAATCACTGATCAGTCCAATTGCTTGCCACTATCTTACTTGAATTATGAACGAGGCAAGGCATTTTCCTGTAGAAATCAGCAACTGGAGCAACCTCTCTGCAGGAAGGCCCTGTCAACAAAGATTACAATCCTTTTTCTGAATTATACTCTGATGATAACAAAGTGAAGTAGGTTAAGAAAAGAAAATTAATTTTCTTTATAAGACACATCTAATGAAGCTTTTATTCACTTCTGACAGGAATTCACCACATGTTGAGAGCAACATCCTGGGCTCAAGAGGAAAAATCAGATTCCATTCTCCATTCAAAACAGAAGTGGATGAGACATGATAAATTAAGGAATTAATGATTAGCTCACAAGAATTGAGACAAATATTTAATCGAACAAGCGTATTTAAAATATAACTGTTATATGTTTCCTTACAAAAGATTTACTAAAGACTACTGATGCCTACCTCGAGGATTAAAAGTATTCAGTTTTTTTCTGGTAGACATTTACAACTACAAAAAGAGAATGAACTAGATAGTCAGGTTGTACAATTGGCTTTTCTTCCTTTAAGAACATGATTTTTGCCCAGCCAGTATGGCTCAGTGGACTGAGCAATGTCCCACGAACTGAGAGGTCCCAGTTTGATTCCAGGTCAGGGCACGTGCCCAGGTTTCGGGCTCGACTCCCAGTGGGAGGCATGCAGGAGGCAGCCGATTGATGTTTCTCTCTCACATCGATGTTTCTCTCTCTCTCCCTTTGACTCTCTCTAAAATCAGTAAGACATATGGGTGAAGATTTTTTTTTTTTAACCCGCACAACCGACCAGGGCCGGGGACAAACTGCAACCGAAGCACGCGCCCTTAGCGGGAACCAAACCCAGGTCTCTCAGGACCACAGGCCGACGCTCTAACCGCTGAGCCAAACCGGCCAGGGCAAGTAGCTAATTTTTTTTACATATTTAAAACAGTATCTGACACCTGCTATGTGTTAAACTTAATGAATTATAAATGAGATGGATTAGAAAATGAAAGTCAAGGTCCACATGGTATATATTTTTTTCTATCCATGTTCTTTTAACCTTGTCTTTATATAGTTGTTTGTATGGAACATAATACAATAAGTAATACATAATAATACAAGAATAAACCCTGTTTCATGTCCTCACAACTGAAACCTACTTTTGCCCCACCCTGTATTTAAAGCCCCTGGTGGTGTCTGGCCAACATGATTCAGTTGGTTGGCACGTCATCCTGTGCACCAAAAGGCTGCTGGTTCAATTCCTGTCCAGGGCACATACCTAGGTTGTAGGGCACACCCCAGTGGGGGTGCAAACAGGAGGAAACTGATCGATGTTTCTCTCATACATCAACGTTTCTCTCTCTCTCCCTTTGACTCTCTCTAAAATCAGTAAGACATATGGGTGAAGATTTTTTTTTTTTTAAAGTACCTAGTGCTTCTTATAAAATGCATGCAGTTGGGTCTTGCTCCACCAATCATCACTAATCATTAGGGAAATGCAAATCAAATCCACAAGGTATTACCTCACATCTGACAGAATGGCTACCATCAAGAAGACAAGAGATAACTAGTGTTGTTGAGGATGTTGAGAAAAGGGATCCCCAATAAACTGTAGGTAGAATTGTAAAATGGTACAACCATTATGAAAAACAGCATGGCAGCTCCTCAAAAAATTAAAAATTGAACTACCACATGATCCAGCAATCCCACTCCTGTGTATATATTTAAGAAATTGAAATCAGAATCTAGAAGAGATATCTGCACCCTCATGTTAATTGCAGCATTATTCACAAGAATCAACATATGGAAACAACCTACATATCCTTCAATTGACTGTAGTAAATACATACAGTGAAATATTATTCAACCATAACTAAGAAGGAAATCCTGTCATTTTCAACAACATGGATGAATCTGAAGGGCATTTATGCTAAGTGAGCCAGAAAAAGAAAGACAGCTTACATGTGGAATCTAAAAGAAAAAGGTCAATTTCAAAGAAACATAGAATAGAATGGTGGTTGCCAGGGTACAGGAGTAGAGGGATACAGGGTGATGTAGATCAAAGGACACAAATTATCAGTTAGAAGAAGAAGTTCTGAAAATCTAATGTACATACAACAGGATGACTATACATGATACTGCATTCATTGTATATTTGAAAGTTGCTGAGAGTAAATCTTTAAAGTTGTCATCACAAAAAAGAATAATTTGTAACTATGTATGGTGATGGATGTTACATACAAATATCAAATCATTATATTAGATTTAAGCATTTTATCACACACACACACACACACACACACACACACAAAAATTACCTATGTTAACTATATGAGGTGATGGATATGTTAATTATCTTGATCCTGGTAATAATTCTACAATGTTTATGTATAGCACATCGTATATTTTAAATACATGATTATATGTGTCAATTATTCCTCTATGAAGTTTAAAAAGTCCCTCATAGGATTTAAAGATTTACTACATGTTCTGACCTCAGGATGAATGGATTCCATCAAACCTTTATGTCTAAATGCAAACTTCAACTCAATCAGAAATGCAGTTCTCCCAGAATATCTATCATCATATAGACTCACCAATTGGCTTCCCTAATACATCCCATTTCCTACTCTCCCTATCCTTACAAGTTGTGATATTGTGACTTTTAACAAGAAATATACATTCAGTCTTATTCCCCATTTCTAACACAGAACTCCTAAAATCCTTGTAATTTCCTAAGTGATAAGAGCAATAAAGGTGTATTGATATTCACAGCAAACTCCTTTCAATTACGTCTGCGTTTATGTCAATGCAGTGATCTTCAGAAAGCACCTAAGGATGGAGGCTGGTTGCCAGGGGAGCCAACCTTGTGATTGCACTATCTTATATCATACACAAAAATTAACTCAAAATGACTAGACTTGAACATAAGGCCTGAAACCATAAAAATTCTAGAAGAAAACATAGGCAGTAAGCTTTCTGACATCAGTCATGGCAATAATTTTTTTTAATCTGACAGCAAAACCAAAATAAACAAGTAGGATTACATCAAACTAAGAAGCTTCTTCACAGCAAAGAAAACGATCAACAAAATGAAAAGCAACCTACTAAATGGAAAAAATGTTGCAAAACATGTATCTGGTAAGAGGCTAATATCCAAAATATATGGAGAATTCATATAACTCAATAGCAAAAAAAAAAAAAATCTGATTTAAAAATGGACAAAGTATCTGAATAGACATTTTTCCAAAAAAGACATACAGATGGCCAACAAGTACATGAGAAGATGTTCAACATCACTAACCATCAGGGAAATGCAAATCAAAACCACAATAATATATCACCTCACACCTGTCAGAATGGCTATAATCTAAAAGACAAGAAATAAGTGTTGGTGAGGAAAAGGGAACACTTGGTGCATTGCTGGTGGGAATGAAATTGGTGCAGCCACTATGGAAACAGTATAGAGGTTCCTCAAAAAACTAAAAACAGAACTACCATATGACCCAGCGATTCCAATTCTGGGTATTTATCTGAAGAAAACGAATACAATAACTCAAAAAGATATGTGCACCCCATGTTCATAGCAGCATTATTTACAACAGCCAAGATATGGAAACAACCTAAGCGTCCATCAATGGATGGATAAAGAAAATATTATATACATAAATGGAATATTAATCAGCAATCAAAAGAATAAAATCTTGCCATCTGTGATATGGATAAACCTTGAGGGCATTATGTTAAGTAAGTCAGATAGATAAAGACAAATACCATATGATATCACTTATATGTGGAATCATTTTTTAAAAAATAAGCTCATAAATACAGAGGATGGTGATTGCCAGAGATGGGGTTTCAGGGTTGGCAAAATGGGTAAACAGAGTCCAAAAGTACAAACTTCCAGTTAGAACATAAATAAATCATGGGAACATGATGTATGGCTTGATGATTATAGTTAATAACACTGTACCTAATATTTTTAAGTTGCTAAGAGAGTAAAAAAAGTTCTCATCACAAAAAAAAAAACTATGCATAGTGACGAATGTTAACAAGACATATTATGATCATTTCACAATCTACAAATATCGAAATCATTGTTGTACACCTGAAACTAATACAATGTTATATATCAATTATACATTAATTAAAAAATTAGGGGCATTAATAGAACATTTAATCACATTAGCTGAGTTCAAGTTTAGTCCCTAAATATACTTAGTTTCCTTATTCTGTTTTACTGTTTTATGAAATAAGTAATTTTAATCTAAACTACTTGATTACCATTATTTTTTGTTCCTTATTTCAATCTATAAAATTTGTGTATACTATAGCAAATTGATGTAGGCATCATCTTTTATAGATCTACACCTAATTATCTATAAAAGATAAATGGAAACATTACTGTCCCAAACAGGCACAACAATTTCCTTCCATTTTAAAATAAGCACTTCTAACCCAGCTCAAAAACTAACCCCATTTGATATTATGGATTTGAAAAAAAATGTATTAGAGGCACATTTTTAAAAGTAAATACAGTATAAAATCTTGCTTTTTACTGAGTCGGTATAATTTTTGTTTGTTTGCTTTTATGGCTATTTGATTTACGTCCTTCTTATGCAACCCTCATTCTTTAAACAGTCAGAAAACCTACAGATTTAAGTTGTATGAAAACCTAACCTGGTACTGTTGGTGGAAGACACCATAAACAGCCCCGAAAGAACACATGTGCTAAATTTTAACACTGTTCATTAACAGCTCCATTTTCCGGAGTTTGCGTTTGTTCTTTGGCATTGGCTTAGGATATAGTCCATTTTTCAGAAGGTGTTCCTTGCTGAGGCGAATTTGAGCACCATGCTGAAGCTGGAAAGAGCATAAAGCTTGAAGAGGCCGAAGCAAAGTCTGTTAAGGAAAAAAGAAAAACTAAACTAAAAAAGTGTCTGTGACAAGTTATGATATATTGTCTAAATTTTTTCTTCAGAAACAAGCATTATTATCTTTATTATTGTTTTTATTATTATTAGCATTTCACTATGAAAAACAATAAGTACTCTAATAAATATATAATGATTTCCAAATAAATAATTTGTTTAAATTCATACCTTACATACCACTAATTCCAGAAAAAGGACACATTGATTTTCCATGTAGGTGATAAAGTCTGAATTTAGTTTTATACATTAAGATATTCAAACACCACAAAAAAACTGTTGCCATTACAATAATTTAATCTGTAACAAGCAGATGATGAGAGACCTTTAGATAATAAAGATTAGTTGATTCATTTCCAATTACAAAAGGATGCAAGTTTCCTGCTACCTGATAACAGTTAGCTGATGGCAGCAATGGGTAAGTGGTTTACTAACACACACTAGTCTAAGGACTGAACACATGCAAATTAGACACCAGGTTTTGGTGCATTCAAAATAATTCTAACTGTATCTGCACCAGCCCAAAGTTAAATATCTACAGGCCAGCCACTTAGCATAAGCGTGTAAACTGGTGGATCCATTGAGTAACAGGGTGGTGGCGACTCTAAAACAATGGGAGCAGATGCCTTTCCTTAAGTTATTCACATTTAAAACATTTTTTTAAATAAAAACACTATACCAGTGCTTTATACTGTACCAAGATTTCAGTGTTTTAAACAAATGTTGAGTCAGATTCTTTCCTGGAACCCGAGACCCCTGATCTAAATCTTTTAAATAACAGCAACACTTGACTGAGCAGATTGTTTTTTAAAAAGGAACAAAAAAAACTCATAGATTTAACTATAAAAACGTCTATGTGAATGAACATGTATTCCTGCCCTGGCCAGTTGCTCAGTGGTTAGAGCATTGGCCTTTGGACCAATGAGTCATGGGCTCAATTCTGTTCATGGGCAACGTACCTACCTTGGTTGTAGTTCGTCCCTGGACCTGGTCAGGGTTGTGCAGGAGGCAACCAGTCTAACATCAATGTCTGTCTGTCTGTCTGTCTGTCTGTCTCTCTCTCTCTCCCCCCGCCCTCCCCCTCCCACTCTACCTAGAGATAAAATGGAAAAATATCCTTGGGTGAGGATTTAAAAAAATAAAACAAAACTGTATTCCCCCACGTATACAACATGTGTTAGCAAGAGCTTAGTAGCTTTAATGTACAATGAACTCTTACAAATTTTAGCAGTCACTGGTAAGTTGCTTCTTCATATCCATTATTTTATTCCTTATTTAAAAAATCAAAAATTGCATTCAAGGTGGCAATGTGTCCAGCTAGTGATATTACACTCTGTAATGACACAGCCTATCCAATGAGATGTGAGTGGAAGTCCTCAGGTGGGGCTTCCAGAGAGTCTCTTTAAATGGGACAGACTTAGCAGGCAGAGGCTTTTGCTCTTTCTTCTTGACTGGAACATGATTCTTAGAGGTGGAATTATCACTATGTGACCACAGGGCAATAAACATAAAGATTAAAACCAAATATATATATATATATAGTGATGATGAAGAACAGGAAAGTAAGATAAATGTGGGTCTCTGATTCTCTGATCCATCCTCAGCCCTGGACTGCTCCCTCAGCATTTCTTATTTACAGGAGAAAATAAATTCCTCTGTGGTTCAACCACTGCAATAAGTGCTCTGTTACATCAGACAAACATCTTGGTAAAGCTCTGCGTGATACTGTAGTAGAAAGTCCCTTAGATATGTTCTCATAATTTCTTTTAATATCTTAATCTCTTCAAACAAGAGAGGAAATGTGGAAATGACTGTCTATTACTTTACAGAGTCAACATAGTGGACGGATTGGATTCTGAATCACTGTACTTAGGAAACATAGCCAGGACGATGTACAGACTGAGACAATTGAAGGTTCTATTGCAATCTTATGACAGTATTAAATTTTCATAGACAGGAGAATACTAATATGCCTCTGGTAATAGGCCTCCAACTTTTACCTCCTGAAGATAAGCATCTATTAATTTCCTGAGTTAATTAAGAGAATGCATTTTGGAGACAGACCTGAATTAGAGCCCCACTCCATCTCTGTGGTAGCCATTAGAACTGTTCACACACATGCCAGTCATCCCTCGTACATGATCAGACTGCATTTTCTAGCCCCCTCTGAAGTTAGTTAGGCATGGCTATATAAGCTGCTTTGGTTAGTGAAATGTGAGCACAGATAATGTGTGCCACCTCTGAGCAGAAGCTTTAAAAGCAGTATATGAGTCCCCACCTCTCCTTATTCCTTCCTTGGAGAAAGCAGAATAACATGTCTAGATAGTGGCTCCATCAGCCTATATCCCTAAGAGAATGCAATGAGCAGATCCCCCTGACAATCCCGCTGGACAGACAGCATGAGAGAGGCATAAACCTCTGCTGTACTAGGCTATTCTAATATTGGAGTTTTAGTTACTGGAGCCTAATCCAGCCTATCTTTTTAAAAACTGAACTGCCCTGGCCAGTTTGGCTCAGTGGTTAGAGCTTCAGCCTGCGGTCCAGAGATACCCGAATTCGGTTCCCGCTAAAGGCGCATACCTCGGTTGCAGTTTGTCCCCGGCCCTGGTTGGTCATGTGGGTGTCAGCCACTCGATGTGTCCCTTTCACGTCAATGTTTCTCTCTCTCTCTCTTCCTCTCTCTCCCTCCCACTCTATCTGAACAAAAAATGGGAAAATGTCCTCGGGTGAGGATAAAAATAAATGAATAAATAAATAAATAATACTGAACTTACTGGCATACTACTTGATAACAAATGATATCACTTCTATATAAATGAAGAAGATTTCTGAGGCACTCTGAAGCTATGTGAGACATGGACTGATCTGAGGAACGAAGAAAATCTTCTACTTATAAAACTAACAAGTTAGTTTCTAAAAGGTTATTTGGGGGGGAAATCAGTGTTTTGTAAATCCTTTCATCTGTAGGTACAAAGTGAGTTTTCAAGGGACCATCATTACTAACTGCTGGTGTTTAGTAGAGCTAAGGCACTTAGTCTACAGCACAAAACTTGGACACATCTCGTTATAGAAGTTCATGAGGCAAAACTGCCTAAGTACAGACGGTTCTGTAATAAAAAAGATTCCCAAGCTCAAGGCTTCCAAGGTATAAAAAGCCCTGGTAAATATTATTGCAGCTGAATGGAAACCACAGGGGCAAGGAAGGTCAAAAGGATTAACTATTTTGAGTGCCTGATGTCAGGCAATTAACACACATTTTCCCATTCAATTCTCACAACACTGAGGTAACTATTCTTATATATATATACATATATACACATATATATGTACATACATATATACACATATATATGTACATACATATATGTGTGTGTGTGTGTGTGTGTATATATATATATAAAACAGGTAAAAAAAGAAAAACAAGCACAAAGAAGTTCCATGAACTGCCCACAGGAAAAAAGTAATGATGATAAATGATGAAGTTTTCATTCAAACCTGCTTCAAAGTTCTTATCATGCTACTTCCAAGTGTTTGAAAAACTCAAGAATAAAAAAGGAGGTTAAATCAACAGACTAAAAAAGCTAATTTTTAAAATTATTCAACACTGAGCCTTTGCTGGTTTGCTCAATGGTTAGAGCATCTGCTCACAGTCCAGAGAGACTTGGGTTCCGTTTCCGCTAAGGGCATGTACCTCAGTTGCAGTTTATCCCCAGCCCCAGTTGGGGTCGTGTGGGTGACAACCAGTCAATGTCTCTCTCTTACATCGATGTTTCTCTCTCTCTCTTCCTCCCTCTCTCCTTCCCACTCTATCTGAAGATAAATGTAAAAATGTCCTTGAGTGAGGGCAAAAAAATTAATTAATTAATTAATTAATTATTCAACACTGACATTTTATTTTTTTTAACTTTATCATTTTTACAAAACAAAAGGCAGGTGTCAAAATCCAGCAGAATGTATAGAATTTCTGCACCAGTTTTTACATAAGTCAGTGATTATGAAACTGGTGTCCAATGTAAATACTAAACACAGCTGATTCCCCTCTTGGTCATATGCATTTGGGTACTTTGTTTTGGAGCTACTGAATCACCTGTACAGAATGAAGCCAGCTGAAAAATTACTATTCTCCGCCATCATCTTAAAATTTTATGATGATGCCACTAATTAAAGGTTATTGGTGGTGGGGTGGGGAATGTATGGCATAGCTTTCCTCCCTGGGAAAAAGAGAAAATACCTATGTCTAGAGCAGGCAGAAACTGTGTTTCTCAGAAGAACATGCCTATATGTTTATTATAGCTAGACATGAACAGGCTGGACTAGGGGTTCCCCTACTAATAAAGCTATTTTTGCCATCTGTAATAATAAGCAACTTGGGATGTTTCATTACGCATTTCTTCTGCTCATACTCCAACCAACCATATTATTAGTTAGTACCTCCCAAATCACACGTCTGATTGTCAAATATCCTATTCGTACTCCTGGAGACTATAGTATGACTACTCCTGCTGACAAAAGAAAACAGAATGACTCTAAGACCTCACTATTACTTTAGGATTTTATGTTCAATTTTATCCATAGATAACAATAACAAAAGCTGAAGAAATGAAGGATCATGTCATCATTCTGTATCTTAACCTTTGCCTGTTGTTAGATATTATACTCAGAACAAAAGATAGGTTTCCTGCTATGATGGCACATTAATTAATTCCAGAATAATATATCTTATAAACTGGGAAAGGGGTCAGCAGTAGCAGCATTAGTAGTAGTGGTAGTAGCAGTAGTAGCAGCAGTACAAACCCTACCCTGAACCCCAGCCCAATTACAACCACTATTATTAAACCACCACCACTACCAACATTAAAGCTTCTATTCAGGATTGTAGGAACAACTGAATTCCAACTGTGAGAATAAGGGATATACGTCCACAGAGGATTCTTTTCAGAACCCAAAAGAAGGAGAGGAAAGAAAGTTTTTGGGTGCTGTTTTTTTTTTTATTATTATTATTCCTCACCCAAAGATATGGTTTTATTGATTTGAGACATTGATGTCAGAAGGAAACATCAATCAGTTGCACCCTGAGTGGAGATTAAATCTGCAACCTTTTGGTATAGGGGAGGACACTCCAACCAACTGAGCCATGTGGCCAGGAGAAGGAAAGTTTTAAATCTATAGCCAAACAATATTATATTTTCTCCTCAAGATTTGAACTTTCTTTTTTTAATGGGTCCTTGGTCTAATGGTGGCTGATCCTAGATTTTCCATCAACACAAAGGAATACACAGAGACTGTATGAAAGCGAGTTTAAACAATAGCACTGGATTTCATCTTTCTTTTGAGACACCTAAAAATAGTGCAGCTTATTTCTGTTTTTTGTTTGTTTTTTGCTCAAGAACATACAGGAATAATGGTGAGTAAATAAGAGGAAAGATAAGTTGGGCAGTATACTAAGTACTGTGTTGATGGCCAGGTACATGGAAGAAGGCAATAAGGTGAGAATGGAGGGACAAAGTCTGAAAACACTTCATGGTCATTTGGGGTAAGAATCTAGGGTCCCTCATGAATTTTTTTTCTCAAAGGAGAGAGAACAGAGAAAAAGAATTGCCTAGATCCAAAACAAAGTCTAGTTACATGGACACACCCATACAAAAAGCCTACCCATGAAACCTACTGCTTTCATCAAAAGAAATGTCTCCAACTCTAACACTTTCCATGTCTTAGAGCAGAGGAGAGGAAAGGCAAGGAAATGCTGGCTCCTGTCATTCTTTACCTCCTTGCTCTGATGGCCTCTTGTTGTTTTCTTGGTAACAAGTCCAGTTACTCTGACCTGAGCTTTTATTCATTATTGAAATGTCCTTTGTGGCTAGGGCACCGTCTTACAATAGTAACAACAGTGTATAATGAGGGAAAGAGAAAGAAGGCAGGAGAGAGTACTTCGTGTGTGTGTGTGTGTGTGTGTGTGTGTGTGTGTGTGTGTTAGAGGGGGAGTTATAAAACTTAATTTAGTTATATTTGTTATCCTGACTTTTCTTCTTAAGTTGTATTTACCAATATCTTCCAGTGATTAAAAAATCCTAAGAAATAGCCCGGCTGGTGTGGCTCAGTGGTTGAGTGTCGACTCATGCACCAAGAGGTTGCCCGTTCGATTCCCGGTCAGGGCACATGCTCAGGTTGTGGGCCAAATCCCCAGTGGGGAGCATGCAGGAGGCGGCCAATCGATGCTCTCGCTCATCGATCTTTCTGTCTCTCTCTCTCCGTCTCCCTCTAAAATCAATAAAAAAAAATTTTTAAATCCTAATAATATAAGTTTTATTTTGCTATATTTTTCTTTTGCCAGAGTGCAATTTTTTTTACACATTCTAAAGATTGAGATGTTAATGAATGCAATAAAACATTATTCTTTACTGATGATTAATTATATATGAATCATCAGGCTTTCATGGAAATTAAACAAAATGATGATTGCATGTTATAACCTTTTCATATTCTGAAGGCGTTTTTCTCAAAAAGGTATATCTTTTTTACACTGTGAGCATGGTTAATAAGATAAACAGGAAGTTAGTGTACCTCCTCAAATAAAAGAACCAATGCAAAAAAAAAAAGTGAAATGTTCTTCTTTTAATTAAAAAGAAAAAAGTTGAGTACCAAAGAACACATAATGCTAAAAGAAAAATACAAACACTAAAAGGAAAATAAAGGCCCCAAAAAACTATATTTAATACTGTGATACTTAAAAGAAATTGAGTATATTACAAATGCTGTTTGCACAGCTTAGAATAAATACTTAAATAATCTTACATAATGGGATCTGAAATGCTAAACTAACAGTAAAACACCAGAAGAAAAAAGATTATAATAGTAAACAAATTTATTTTTCTTTTTATTGATTTTAAGGAGAAGAAGGGAGAGAGAGAGAAAACATCGAAGTAAAAGAGAAACATTGATTGGTTGCCTCCCACACGTGCCCTGACCGGAGACAGAACCCACAACCTAGGCATGTGCCCTGACTGGGAACTGAACCCAGCACCTTCTGGTATATGGAACAATGCTCCAACCATCTGAGCCACACCGGCCAGGGTCACACACTTCTATCACAGATACGTTCTACTTGTCACTTGAGCTACAAACATAACAAGCTATGCATTTCAAAATTTTCTAGATAAAATCTATCCAAGCCCCTACTTCTAAAAACCACGTAGCCTTCCAAAGGGTACATACCTCTTGTATGTAACTATTTTTCTCTAAGATGGAAAGAGCAACAGCCGCACACTCCAGGGTGGACAGGCACCTATTAGTTGGTTGTGTCCGAATTACATACTGACTAGAAATGCTCGTTTTTAATTGCACCTGAAACCAAAAAAATAGAATAGAATTTTTGGTTTAAATTTAAAACTGTAAAGTCTGTGTTTTAAATAATATTTAATTTAAATTCCTTCCAAAATTGCCAGTTTAGAAATATTAAATGTATCGATATTTTCTATACATAATATCCTTACATTATTGTTATTTTCAAATAGTAAAAGGAATAACGTATTTTCATATATACATGACAAAGAAAATATATCCAGGGTACATATACACAAATTCCTACAAATTAAAAATAGACTAATATCTCCCTCTCAGTGGACGAAAGAGTGAATAGATACTTCAAAAAGAAGATATAAGAATAGCAAATAGGTATGTGTAAAAGGGCTCAACATGATTTAATGTAAATTAAAATCACAATGGCATAACATTCCTAGTCTTCAGAACAGTTAAAATAAAAAAGAGTAACAGCGCCAGGGAAAGATACAGAGCAAATGAAACTTTCAAACACTATAGTGGGAGTGAAAATGGTTTATTCACTTGGAGAATTTATTTTATGGTTTATCCTCCCATGATTTCTTGATATAAATTGATAGGTGTATGTCTGTGTGGGTGAGAATGTGTATAAACATAGAGACGTACACATACACATATGGATGGATGAATGCATCCTCTCTTTTAGATAAAAGTACTATACATACTTTATCCAGGAAGATAATATTTTAGCTGACACTTAATGACTGAGACAGGGTAGACATGAGAAAGGCAATAAAAATTTGAATGTCAACAATTTGGCTTTTAGATTCCTATTTTAATTAAGTGAAATTCAAATAATTTTATATTCACAAAGCCATAGTCCTAGCCCGCACTCTGATCAGAATCACATTTAAACATGTGTGGATAGCCCTGGCCGGTTTGGCTCAGCGGTTAGAGCGTCGGCCTGCGGTCCAGAGAGACCCGGGTACGGTTCCCGCTAAGGGCACATATCTCGGTTGCAGGTTGTCCCCGGCCCTGGATGGGTTGTGCGGGTGGCAGCCACTCAATGTGACACGTCAATGTTTCTCTCTCTCTTCCTCTCTTTCCCTCCCACTCTATCTGAACAAAAAAGGAAAAATGTCCTCGGGTGAGGATAAAAAAAAAATTTTTTTTAAATAAATAAACATGTGTGGATAGATGAGAATTTCAGTTTTTACTTATAAAATATGTAAGCATGTGGATTGAAGGTAGTGGTGTCTATGAACACACAGCATCTTATTAAAATCAGGTGTTCTCTCTTGTCCTGGCCGGTTTGGCTCAGCGGATGGAGCGTCAGCCTGCGGACCAGAAAGTCCCAGGTTCGGTTCCCACTAGGGGTACGTACCAAAAAAAAAAAATCAGGTGTTCTTATTTTCTAGTATCTCTGATGTCCTATGAGTCTCATTCCTTTACACCATTAAAACTCTCATCGGATGGCACCTTAGCTCTCTCCTTTGTTTCTCATGTAGTCCACCCATGGTGAGAAATACAGTTCTTCTATTAGATATTTTTGTTCAAAGAATTCTCCTCTACAACTTGTTTCTCTTCTTTCCTCAGAAAGAGGAAGAGAGAAGAGGAGGAAAGAAGAAGAGGGAGAGAGAAAGGAAGAGAGGCAGAGAGTAAAGCAAAGTGAGTATCATAAAAAAGCCACTACAGAAAGTATTTGGTTTTGGAACACATCCTTTAAAGCATATTTGACTAATAATGCTTTAGATATGATCATATTAAAATTATTCTGCATATCTAACAATAGACAAAATGAAAAATAGGTTCAGGGAGAGAAAGAGATGGAGGGAAAAAATTAAAAAACATGTGCAATGATGAAAGAAAGCCTGTGATTAAATAACTAAGAATAATTCATGATGTTGATTAACTGTAATTACTAATGGATTTAATATTTCATCAGGTCAACTAGTAAAACAGAGTACAGACGAATACTGTTTCAAAACTCAATTTCAAGTCATCACTGAAGGAATTAATAATAGGCATCTGATTATAACAAAACCTTTGTGAAACATGCAATTTTCACAGTAAGTTTTGTTTATAGAAATAAATTTGACTTTAAAAGAAATTTCTTATTTCAGGGGGGTGTTTTAATTCTTACTTAACCCCCATAGTTATATGAAAACTCAGAATTTGACATTTATCATATGTTATAATTCAGAATATCCTACACAAATGATCTCTCCAGGAATTACCCAGTAACTGGTTACATTAAAAGGGTACATAACTAAGAACATATATCATTAATATATGTTATTAGAGTATACTAATATGACACTCTCCCAGCTCCTCCTTTTTATGCTCATGTTCTATTTCACCTTCATCACATACTTAATTCAATAAGTAAATAAGCGAGTTCAAAAAGAAACACTGTTGATCCATCTTCTGGGGAAGTCACGGGCATCATAACAAATAATTTGTCAGAAATTGTCTTAACTTCTCAAATAAAAGTTCAAGAAAATCCAAGGCAAAATTATTCAAAGACTAAAGAGTAACATGTGATAATAGCATGTTATATAGAAAGGAGATTTATTGAAAGACCAGGATTATTATATCAAGCTTGACAATAATGAATCGACCAATCTCAGTCAAGTCATTCAGCGTCTCAGTTCCTCCTCAAACATAAAAATCAGACAGCTGGCCTCTGCTATAGTCTCAGCCAGTCCTTACAGGAGGTCAGCCTGCGGGTCAATCTCTCCCAGTGACCTTCCAACAGCAATCAAGGCTCAGTTACAACAGGATGGTGCACCCAGCCCACGGCGGGGGAAGGGAGAGGGGGATGCCTAGAACACCGATCACAGGTGACTGGGTAGGCTGTGCCACTGGACCCTATAGGACACTTACTACAGGAGGCTACTCTACCAAGTCCAGGAGACATAGCAACTCTACCTAATACATAGAAACAAACACAGGGAGGCAGCCAAAATAAGGAGACAATAAAACAGGTCCCAAATGAAAGAACAGGCAAAATCTCCAGGAAAAGAACTAAATGAAATGGAGACAAGCAAAATATTAGATACAGCATTCAAAACAATGGTCATAAGGATGCTCAAAGAACTTAGTGAGAACTTCAACAGCACAAAAAAGGGACATAGAAACCATAAAAAAGAACCAGTCAGAAATAATGAATATACTAACTGAAATAAAGAATACATTACAAGGAATCAACAGTACAGTACATGTGGCAGAGGATCCAATCAGAAATTTGGAGATAAGAAAGCAGAGAACAGCCAATGAGAACAGGATAAGAAAATTTTAAAAGAATGTAATAAAAGGTTGCTGGTTCAATTCCCAGTCCAGGGCACATGCCTGGATTGCTGGCTTGATCCCCAGAAGGGGGCATGCAGGAGGTGGCCAATCGAAGCAACATTTCTCTCTCTCTCTCTCTCTAAAAATCAATAAAATATTCTTTTTAAAAATATATATATATTTTTCAAATGTCTCCTTCTAAATATCCCTGTGGCTATTTTTGTCACTGCAAGTGATTTGCGTCATTAAAAGCTGGGCTGACACAGAATGTTTAGTAATGGTCTTTAGAGCTAACAAACAAATATCCAAGGAAATAATATGCCATGGCTTATGTTTGCATAACACATTTTAAAAATAATTTACTATAACCTAAGTTAGTTAAATCTTTTATCAACCAAAATAAACTAAAAAAAAAAAGACCAAAATTAAAATTTTAATTCATACCCCCCAATGCATTGCATTTTTATAATTTGATGGTGATTACTTGTTACCTGTACTCAGGCTATTTTAAGCCAAGTTTCATTACTACATAAAACTACTGTGCTTCTCAATTATTTAGAGTCAAAAGCTTTCTAATCACATGATCAATATTTTTTTTATCCTCACCAGAGGACATTTTTTGCATTTTATGTTCAGATAGAGCGGGAGGGAGGGTGGGAGGAAAAGACAGAGAGAAACATCAATGTGAGAGAGACACATCAACTGGCTGCCACCCACAGGACCCCAACTGGGGCCAGAGACAAACTGCAACTGAGGTACGCGCCCTTATCAGGAACCGAACCCAGGACTCTCTGGTCTGCAGACCGATGCTCTAATTGCTGAGCCAAACCGGCCAGGGCTGATCAACTTCTTTAAAGGTTTCTAGCCCTGGCTGGTTTGGCTCAGCCGTTGGAGCGTCAGCCTGAGGACCAGAGAGTCCCGGGTTCGGTTCCCGCTAGGGTCACATACCAAAAAATAAATAAATAAATAAACAAACAAACAAACAAATAAATAAAAATATTGCCCTGACCAGTTTGGCTCAGCAGTTAGAGTGTCAGCCCGTGGACCAGAGAGTCCCGGGTTCGGTTCCCGCTAAGGGCACAGTTGGGGTCATGTGGGTGGCAACCAATCGATGTCTCTCTCTCACATCGATGTTTCTCTCTCCCTAACCCCCTCTCCCTCCTGCTCTATCTGAAGAAAAAAAAAGTTTCTAGGAAAATCTATTTATTTTCCAGGCTTTCTGAAACAAGCCTAGTCTATTACAGGCTGGAATGAACTTTCTTTTAGTAGCATTCTGAAGTCTTTACCACTAGAAGACACACATAAAAACCCATCTTTCTGTAACAGCCTGTTTTCTATGATCTTTCATAAGCAAGATTAATTATCTGAGCTTTTGAGATGCCCTTTGAAAGAGAGGCACTAAATCTTTTCTTCTAGCCCCAATCCCTCAATTCACTTCACTCCTGTCATTCCCTCAGTTTAGTTCAACAACATAATCTAATAGTGGTAAGAGTCCAGCATTGGCATCAGACAGTTGCCAGTTCTAACACAGACAGGCAAAGTTTCATGCACATACTGGACACTAAATGATATTCTAGATAATGTACATGTATTGTCTCACTTAATTCTCACAAGACCCTATGAAGTCAACACCACTACCTCCATTTTAAAGACGAGAAAACCAAAGCACCAAGAGGTGGATTAACCTACTCACAGTTCCAAAGTCAGTCATGGCAGAGCAAATATATGAATCTATAAAGTTACATCCAAGAACCTGAGCTCTTCATCACCAAGCT